CAATATGTTAACAGACATTCTACCAATGAGGGTTAGCAAGTATGAAAAAAAATATCACAAAAATATGAGTAACATAAAATTTTATCTAAACTTAAGATATAATATAACTAAAATAATATCATTTTCATTCTAATGCTAGTTTAATTTCCACCTTGTTAACTGAAACGTTCTAACACAGTTTAATTTTCATCCTGTTATCTTGTGGTAAAACCCGTTTGCCGTCTTTAGAATAATTGTATTCCACACATGCGCTGTTCTAACAAATTAGTCACCTCTGTATCAGAGCTTATCGCATTCCAACACCTGTTGTTTTGTTTGGTTACAAAATACCTGTTTACAGGTAGTAGTAGGGGGAAAAAAAAGAGGTGGGGGAGGGTGAGTCAAAACCCTGTTTTATTTTGGAAAAAAGGGGGTGGGGTGGGGGATAATTTAGGACTATAATTTATACTTGTTTGGAGGGTAAAAAAACAAAGTGAGTTGAAAACCTGGTTTTCTAATACTACTAATCACCATTTAGGGAACACAAATACTGGTTCCTTTCCACATAGGGTTTTTCAGAAGTTTTAATTGATTAACAGTTCTTTAGAACATTCCGAAAGATGGACTGAGTTACTGTCTACAAGAGATTCGTATATTAACAGAGACGGACTAAAGTACTATTACCTACTGACGATTTGTTCATTCACAAAAGTGGCCTCGTGTACTATCTATCACCTACCGAAAATTCGTGCAGTAGCAAAGATGACCTGGAGTACTAAATATTGGTACATTAACAAAGGTTGTAAAGGTTCGTACATTATAAATTAGCAAAGATGGTAAAGGTTCGTACATTATTCATTAATAATGGTGGCCTCAAGTACTATGACCGGCTGAATATTGGTCCATTACCAAAGGTGGCCTCAAGTAATGTCGCCGACTAAAGATTCATACATTAACAATGATCGACTCAAGTACTATCATCGACTAACAATTCATACAGTAACAAAGATAGCTTCAAGCATTATCACAGACCATAGATTCGTATATTAATAAAAGTGACCTCAAGTGATATCACTGACTAAAGTTTCATACATTAAAATAAAGGTTACCTCAAGTACTATCAACGGCTAAAATTTCGTACATTAAAAATGGCGGCCTTAAATGATATAACCGACTAAAGTTTCGTACATTAACAAAGGCAGCCTCAAGTGATATCAGTAACCGAAGATTCGTACATTTTGTCAGTAAAATACAGAACGACGGAAAGAAAGGCATAAAGTAGCCAGAAGTGTAATATTGGACATGCGAAAATGAGTAACATGCACTGAGTTTAGGATTTCAGCTTATGGATGCGCATGACTATTTTTGGTAGTCAGTAATTAAGTAAAATTTTATCATTTAATATTACAGTAAATATTTTTGCCATAAATATTTGTGTATGCCGGAATATGACTGCACTAACAAAACACGCCATGATACGGTGTCACCTTTGTTAATTAATTAATTAATTAATTAATTAATTAATTAATTAATTAATTAATTAATTAATTAATTAATTAATTAATTTATTATTTATTTATTAATTTATTAATTAATTAATTAATATGTTAAAGCCTCATGATAAATACAAAATATGCCGTTGATTGGCCACTGAGACCGCTGCTTGCTTGGTGGATGCGGTGTCCCACATTCTCATATCTGACTACATAGAGTTTTTAAAAAAAATCCCAAACACCCCACTATCATTCTGAATTTGACTGGGCGAAAGAAACTCGTTATATCTTCTTATTGATTACTATATATATATATATATATATATATATATATATATATATATATATATATATATATATATATATATATATATATATATATATATATATATATATATATATATATATATATATAAAATCCATATACTCCGATTTATCATTACCATAATCTACTTTTTTATTTTTTCTTATTTTCTTACCGTAAAATAATTTGAACAAAAGGGCAATGTGGTTGATCTGTTGGATCCAAGTTACCACAAGAAAAATTTAGAATGTTGTCATATATTAAACAATTGCTTTGTTGTTTTTTTAATTTGTTGCTAAAGATGTCCAGGTAGATAAGATGTGCTCACTCTCAACGTTCGATGAGTTCACTTTCGGACTTACTCAAAATACGGCTGTTGATATCTGATCAGAACTGGTTATAGAGAGAGGTAAAACTTTCTACTTGGAATGCGAAGCATTCCAAAAAAGAAGTGCAGAAAGAAATTTTTATGAATAAATTGTTCAAATATTTAAATCTTGGCTGAGTTATATTTGCCACTAGAAATAATTTGTTAAGACTAGTAACAAATATAAACAAATGAATTAAGAAAAAACTTCAAAAACTGATACCCTTTTGAAACGAAAAGGCTTTGCAAAAAATGAATGAAAAATATTTTAAATCTGTTTAATTTATTGTTATCAAAATAATGAACTGTCCATCGCCCTCGTCCTCGCCCTCGCCCCCACCCCTCGCTTTCTTTATTACTCAAAAATTTGCATTGTTCATTTATACAGCAATGACCTGAGGCAACTAAGATATTAAATCATATGTAAGAAAAAAATCCTGTTTGATGCTACTTGACCTTATGTCTAGTTGATTGCATTAAAACCTTGTAAATAGTATTGTACCGCAGCAACCAGATGACATGTCACATATCTTGTCGTGGATGTGCACTAGAAAGACTAAGATAAATATATTTGTGTAATGTTTTTTATATAGCGTCTGTGCTCCCTTAGAAGTCTAACCAAACTGCAAACGGCACAGACACAAACCTATCATCGTATAATACGTCGTTATTTCTAGATCTATACAGTTTGTTAGGAACAATTAGCAGAACAAACAGTATAAACCCTGATCTGCCGGCGCATTATATGACGGCAGATCTGGGTTTATGTTTTTCAGTTTAACTCGACGTATACGTTGTTTTGCTGATATACCATGCGCTCAGAAAGTGTGCTTCTCCGGCAAAGCTCCAGAGTACAACATGAAATGACTCAAAGTAACAATCTCGTGTACACTTTTTTTAAAAACAATTACATACATTTTTAAAACTTATTACTTTATAAATAAAAACTGTCAACTATAACAAGGGGCAAACTCCTTAATAAATATGCACAGTATTCCTCTGGTTTTAAAGTCGCAGTAAATTATTACGATATCAAAGAATTAATAAGTCGATCACGTAATTTGTAGAACTCTAAATGCATTATAATGGCTTTTATAAGTTTGAAATTGATACAAGACTTTTTATTCTGTAATACGTTTTACATAAATGTAATACGTTTTACATAAGTGTAACTGCAAGTCTACCATACTTAAAAGTACTTAAAAGTGTAAAACTGATAGTTTTCTCATGCCTAAAATGTATCCGATTAGGTCTCTAACTTGATTTCGTCTGGTTTTATTTTTTATCCCTAAATTTTATCACATTTGTATTAGAATAGTGATTAATTTATATCACATTTGTATGGAATAGTGTGTATGTATGTATTAATTTGTATACATTTGTATGGAATAGTGTGGTTTATATTTATCACATTGGTATGGAATAATGTGGTTTATATTTATCATATTTGTATAGAACTGTATATAAATCTTTTAATATTTGTATGGATTAGTAATATAGAATAACTAAAGTTATTGAAATTGTGTAGAGCACTTGTGTAGAGCTATGTTCTAATCTGCAAGTGTCACATGAAATCCCGTCGCCCAAAAGATGTTCATTAATATAAAAAGAAACATAATATCTGGGCTATGTTTTTAGAACAGCTATCTTTTTAGATATGTTCACATGTCTTTGTATATCTTTCCTTCAAACAAGAATAAAACAGTGACGTCACCATCCAAGTTTCGAAATATCCCATTGCATATATGCTTAATGCACTCTGTTTTGGTAATGTAGTTTTCCCAATGAGCATAAGAACAAGTACTTACGCACCCCATAATTATGAAAGTAGATAATCATGTACAATTACGCTAATTAAAACTTCCCTATCTTCAGCATGCCTTGAATGGGATGGGATGGAGAGTGGAATAATACATGTAATAGAATCTTTGTTATGTATTAGTCTAATCGACAAGAATATCCTTTAAGAAACTAAGATTCTTACCTTTCACACCCTATGTTAGACTCAGTAGTTGGACAGTTTACTTTAGGTAGCCGACTCCATTATGACTGTCTAAATAATAAAACCTAACTCAGGACTGTAAGCGTCAGAGGAAATAACAATGGACAAATCGATCTTGAGATGCATGTGAAATAAGAGGAGCGTTGTATACATTGAAGGTGAACTAATATATTTATATAAACATAACATTCATAAACAAACGTTAAAGTTCGTGGTATAGGCTTTTCATGATTACTGCTGTGATACTGTTAACTACTTACAGCACAAAACACTTGCATTTACACTCATGATGAACTTGGCAGCAAGTTACTGATATAAAAAGACGGAACATGAAAACATGAGAAACGATGCGACAAAGAATGAATGAATGAATGTGCTATAGACATCGCTATAAACTACCACACTGCATTAGCGATATGATTGAAAAAGAATATCTATATAGATTTGTACCACCAAGAAGATGTTGCAGTTTGGATCAGCAATAAACATATATGAGACAACTCATTTATAAACACATGCCAGACATATTATAAGCACGTGAGAAACATATATATATAAACACATGCGAGACGGATAAAGGCGAGAAACATATAACAGGCATGGATTTTTGCCAACTTTGGATTCTGGAGGGTTTCTGTTTTGGTCCCCAACCGCCAAAATGTTGATTGTCATCTAGCCCGACTAATATGTATATTTAATGAGTTTATTAATTCCCCATCGTCTTGGTCTTGGTCTCAGTCAAATCGTCCTCATAAACTTTTTTTTTTAAATTAAAGATCTTGTACACAAAATGATTAAAACAAGTAGTATTAATGGCACGTGCATACAACTTGTTAATATCTGGTACTAATTCACTGACCTGCTATCAATGGCCTAGTGGCTAGAGATCCCGTCGCGGATACGGGAGGTCGCGAGTTCAAACCCCGGCCAAGTCAAACCAAAGACTGATTTTAAACAATGATATTAACATCTGCCTCGCTAGGCGCTCAGCATTAAGAGGTTAGTGTTAGGATTGGTCGGCCTTGTGTCAGGATAATGGGACTTGGTGACACATCATGCTACATGTCAGCGGCATGATGCCCCAGTGCTATAGACATCGCTATAAACTGCCACACTGCAGTAGCTATATGACTGAAAAAGCTACATTAAAAGTCCGTATCAAATACACACACACACACACACACACACACACACACACTACTATCGATGTCCTGAAGTTCAAGGTCGGGTCGTTTTTTTACTTATAATTTATTTTAGAAAATGTTTACTCCAATTTAGAATGATGAACATTGACCCCACATTAGTCCATGGACGTTTAGCCTACTTTATTTCATGGACTCTGATATTTTTATCTCAGATAATATCAAGATGGTGGATATATATGACTGAACAAAATAATGGTGTACCTGAGACTGACGCATTGTTACATGTGTAAACAGAAACACATAACTTAAACTAATAATTCAATATTAATCCCATTCTTAAGTTAAGAACGTTGGGTCCATCTTAGCTTCTATTTTCCACACTATTAGTCGTTAGCTAAATCTTCAAGAAATGACAGGGTCGTGAATATCATATTTGATTAGCCCTTCCGTTAAAGTTGTAATCTTAGTCTCGTGTCAACATGTCATCATTATTTGTTATTTTCAGGTACACCATTATATCATTCTCAGACAACGTGTCATATGCTGATGTAATGACTGTAAGATCTGGTTCAAAGTCACAGGTTACTGTTACATTCCTACGATATATAAAGTAGTGCACATGCTTACATGGTACATATTGCGACAACGCATGAGGTACCTATTCTAAAATTAAACAGTGGCATTATAAATTTTATTAATATGAACACGTCATGGTGGCTTAGAATACAACACTTAATCTGTACAAACATATATTCAAGTGCAAAGCCTCGCTTACAGTATCAAATACAATACCTGATCACACAGATATCTGCAAAGAAATTTGTCATAGCATCGTGGTAAGCTCGCGGTAACCCCACAAAAGGTTTGAAATATGCACTATTATCATTGTAAAAATGAGCAGAAGATAAAACACAGAAAGAAACATAAAGAAATATGAGAGGAAGTTCATGTATTTCTATTCTTTAAATGTTTATTAAATGTGTTCAGGTCAACGCACATTATAACATTTCGGCTTAAAGACTCGTTATGTGTATCTATCATGTATGCTTAACTTTTGTCCATGATTGTAGAGTGTACTTTAAGATAATGGTCATCTGTAAACAATGTGTATATATATAACTTTTATTCATGACTTTAAGTTATAAATAACATACTAAACTAGATGTTTAAGTTTAGAATATTCTAAAAACAGCCATATTTTCAATTTGATTGGAATTTTCCACTAGAATGACTCACATATAAGTAAAGTGAAAGTGTGTATAAATAGGAACTTGATGAACAAATATTTCGATTCTATTTCTGAGAAATCTCTGAATTTGTTGTCAGAATTTACAGTTTTGTTCAGATATAATTCCGAAAGAATTATTTATTTAAATTATTCTTTGGAATTACTAAGTGTCCATAACTAATCATTTTGAAATTTTGAGAACTCATTAAAAGACATTTTGGATTTCATCTATATGTTAAATCAAAACATTTAAGATAATTAGAACTAATTCGAAACATTCTATACTTTTGGACTTGTGATATATTTAACATAATATGGGATTTAATTTGCATTACTGTAAATGTCTCTTTTATGTGTGTGCGTGCGTGCGTGCGCACGTGTTATTTGGATTTTCAACAATTTTTCAATTGTATCGCTACGATGTCTGCAGCGTGGCAGTTTATAATGATGTCTGGCACTGGGGCATCATGCTGCGGATATGTAGCACTCGTCATTCGAGTGTGTCTGCTACGCACGAGATTATAACCTTCAATTTTATCCAACATTTCATCCTTGAATGTATATAGGTCTTCTCTTATGGAAACTTTTGCTAATTTTATACTATAATCTATTATGAGGCGAAGTCAGAAACGTTTTAGCATGAAGTTTTCATAGTATTTAATCAGTATTGGAAATATCTGAAGTGAAAATATGTAAAGACATAAGATTTAAATGACCTTTCTAAAAATTAAAATTTTCTACACTCACAACTAAAAAATTTTGCTTAATTGACCCTGTTTTGGCTGGAAAGAGAAGTCATTTCGTCCAAATAAGGATATCTATCATGGACACTGAATTATTATCAATAGTTACCCTGAATTAGTAATGTAGGTTTCTTGGTCTCATTACGTCCCTGAATAAGCGCATTATAGTGGTAGCTGTTCTGAAGTCAGTATAATGGAGAACATTTATTTTTTTTAAACGTTCTGAATGGGGCCGAATGGGGCCGAATTTCAGCTCCAGAACAGGCCCAGACATTTTTATTTGCCTTAATGACCTTGACTTAAATATAGCAAAAAGGATATACGGGCTGGTTATATATATATATATATATATATATATATATATATATATATATATATATATATATATATATATATATATATATATATATATATATATATATACCAGACAGAACAGACTGTGCTATCCCTGGATCCTGTAGTAGAATCTTGATAACAGTGGGCAGAAATAATAGTTTAATACAAACAATACTATCATACAGGTTAGAGAAATTAAATTTGTACTTTACCGAGTGTCGAACCCAGGTCCGTGAGTAAATGGCACCCATTGTCTTGCCTGCACGCAGCAACCCATATACCGTCACGATTAAGCACGCATCACCAAAAAAATGATGGCACTGAATCGGTGTTATATAAGCTCGTGCGTGTATTTTTGTCATTATCCTTGTCATTATCTTTGATGACATCTTTTAACGCCTACATTTTATTTTTATACATGGCACTGGCAAGTCTAAAGCGGTTTCGCCGATTCAAAGCTCATCGAACTACGAAAAAATATTAAACGCAAAACATAGTTTAACTCACTCTTTGGACTTGAGTTTTATTGACTTTAACTGACTGTGCAACTGTTAAAAACCGGTTAGTGATGCTATTTTTCGCGTTGTCAAGATGCAATCTTCCAGATATATTTAGGGTAATGGTCCTGAACCAGCTTTATCACAACTTTATTTTTCTATTGGTGACAAAAAATGTCGCCATCAAAAAAATTTAATCTGAGTTGAATATAAATTTAGTGGCAAAAGTGTAAAAACCTATCCCTGATTTTTAGGTTGATAGATAGGTGATTATTGACGTATCAGCGCGTGAAAGGCTATTAAGTGCCGAGGAAGGACAGAGAGACACGCCACGGCAGCTGACACCATCTAGTCTGGGCAGAATATCAACCAACAACCAATCATTGACATTATTTTGTCTGGCATTCTAACTACAGTACCATGAAAATATATTTCATTCACGATGCAACCCATACAACCTGCAGACGTTATCACCTTGGCGATCAAAAGTCAGGTGTTTAAATAATCGTAAATGTGTGCCCGCAACCTCATTTACGGTTTTCGAGAATTACGATTATGTCACCATTACGGTGTAAACTTCAACACACTGTCTATTGATCCCTCAATCAATCCATGCATTTCCTTGGACTGGGAATCAATACTATCATACAATTATGCTCTAATACTCAGATAATGAAGTTTTACGAATTTAAAAAAAATCCTAAATTGGTTAAATCGTTATATTTTTTATTTACGGACATTGCTTGGTAATGACAATTTGTTATAACATGTAATTTTTAAATACATATTTACTCATTAATATATGACAAAATTAATATTTAGAGAGATGAAGAAGAGAATTCTGAAGTTTTAGCTAAAATAAAAACAAATACGAGAAATAGCCAAAGCGAGAATTCCTGGTAAAGAAATAATAATTAATAATAATAATAATAATAATAATAATAATAATAATAATAATAATAATAATAATAAGTAGAATATTATTGGGTCAGAAGTTATGCTTGGAAAAACGGATAAAATGTTCAGTGACGCCAAAGGTCAAGCATATTTAAAATATTAAAAATCCTTTAAATGTATGACCTGATATATATTTCTTTTAATTTTTTAAAAATTAATTCTGTTTCATTTTCTCCTTATCCTTCTGTCCCCATTTTGTAATTGTTTGTATTTTTCCAAATTATATAGTTTTATTATAAGAGTTAGAGAGACGGAGGGGGGCAGAGGAATCTGTCGCTACCTCACACCCTTGCAAATGAAAGCGAAATAGCCCTAAGGTTTCCTTCAGAAAAGTGTTCTCTATGGTTCGATGGTTAAGATGATACCCTGATTTCCTTCAGAAAAGTGTTCTCTATGGTTCGATGGTTAAGATGATACCCTGGTTTCCTTCAGAAAAGTGTTCTCTATGGTTCGATGGTTAAGATGATACCCTGGTTTCCTTCAGAAAAGTGTTCTCTATGGTTCGATGGTTAAGATGATACCCTGGATTCCTTCAGAAAAGTGTTCTCTATGGTTCGAGGGTTAAGATGATACCCTGGTTTCCTTTAGAAAAGTGTTCTCTATGGTACGATGGTTTAAGATGATACCCTGCTTTCTTTCCACAGACCTCTCTACTACTTGTTTGGGTCAGTTCCCCCCCCCCATATGTTTGTATCAGCCACTGCGAATAAACCTTATGTCAAGTTGATTATCATTTTAAAAAAAAATTACATAATAAATATTATTCTCCCACGGCAACAAGTACAAATGCCACATATTTTGGCATGAATATGTACCGATAAAACCTATCTTGTTTACTTGGCTTACTGGGAGGAATTATCACTGTAGATTGTCAGATTACTGGATAGCTGTCTGCGGCATATTTATCTTGTTGAAAAAAAAATGTTAAATGTACGGATTTATCATCATCACTCGTCCCTTTCCGTAAACCAGAAAAAGCAGTTCGGGCCAGACGAAATGCCGAGTGGTATACCGATTGATTTATAGTCTC